CGATGGGTGATGATTGAAATGAATGACGACTGGACGATCTTTCTTTGTGTGTTTTTCTGTGTATTTGGATTGAAGAAACGTGCTGCTCCCGCCTTCACGTTTGCCGCCCAGGCCGGCTCTAGGTAGTCGTCAGCGCGAGATTCTCCAAGGTAAGATTGTACCTTTACACTAGCAACTCGTTCGCGGACACAGCTAGCAGGCGGTAAGGAACGCGGTTCAGCGCGCGCGATACTGAGGCTGACCCCAGCAGTCTTGCGGATACCCAAGCAGGCCTCCATTGCGAGCGCGTTGCATGGCCGAGTTCCAGCGAGAAAGCTGCAAACTTCGGTCAGCAACAACGGAACGAAGGGATGACAGACACATAACCAGCCACGATCGTGCCCTCAACTGCGCCATCCTCGACATCCATCGCACGTGCATCGCCGGGCCGAGTTCCAACCAGAAACCTGCAACGCTCGGTCAGAAATGGCAGAAACAGAGATGGATCTGCGGCAAACCGAGGATGCGGAGTCGTCCAGGCCGAATCAGGGCGTTCTGGGTCATTCTCGACATTGCAAGCAGTGATTTCAACAGCGGACTTGCCCCAGAATTGCGGGAATGCGTCCGCGGTAGAAGGACGGCCTTTGCTCTTGTGGGCGGATCCGACAAATTGCCTTCGATCGAGTCCTAGGTGCCTACCCGTCGGCACGGCGCCTCTCTCGACCGCTTCTGCTACACACATCGTCTTCAAGTCTTCAAGTATAACCATAAAAAAAAAACTAACACAAGTAGTCATTTGCTTGCTTGCCCGGTTCGGCTTTCGCACCGCCGCACCAAGACGCCGCAGCCTGGCAGACACATGCCGCATACGCGCGGGCGGGGCCCACGCATCGTCAGCGCCGGGCAGTGCGAGCGGGAAGAAGGGTGGAAGAAAAACAGTCAGCGTGGGATTTGACGACCGGCTAAATCGGGCCTGGGCGCGCACGTGTCCGCTTATCAACCACTTCTTCCTTCTCCCGCTCGCGACAGCTTGCCCCGCCGTCTTGCCCGTGTCTCACACGGCCACTTCCGGCACTTGGCGCTGCTGCAACCGGCACGCCCTGCCTTCGAGTCGCCGCCTGTGCCAAATCTATCTAACTCCGCGCCCAGCGTCCTGACTCTGTCTAACCCCGCTCTGCCGAACCACGCCGGCTCCATCCTTGCTCTCGTGCTCCACCCCAGTAGAATACACGGCGCAGACTGCTTACCGAGCCGCTGCCAACTGGCACTGTCAATGTGTCAGCAACGCGGCCGTCAGCGAGCGCAACACCTACCTGCCGACGATGAAGACCACGCGAAGCAGCGGGCAACGGCGGCAACAACTTCGCCCCGGCAGCCCCCGCTTAGAACAGGAGTCGAACGCGCAAGTCTGGTTAAGACGCTGCTGTTGGAGGGCCCTGGGCAACGGGGCGGAAGCTGTGGGGAGGTAAGTGTGCGAATGAAGCACAAGGTTGACGAACTGACCAGCACAAGCCTTTGGCCTCGTACCTGCGCGACTCCCGCGAAATGGACACGGGCGAGGAGAAAAGAGTCAATGAACCCTGCGGATGAAGGTGAGCGCGCAGAGAGGAAAGAGCAGAGCGCATGGTACATCTGATTTTCGTTCTACAGTAAGTCCCAGTCAAGGACGAAGAACAAGTACTAACTTACCTTGCAAGTTTGCGAATAACATCAGTCTCGAGCAGAAGACGACGGCCTATGCAAAGTAAGTTAACGTGTTCGCGGATGAATCGCGTGGACCTACTCCTCCTCCAGATTGCGATTCAAGACTCGGAGCTCGTCATCGACGAGATCAACACCATCTGGAAACAATGATTAGCATAACGACCAAGGACGCTGAAGACAACGCACGAAACATGGCCCAGCAGTGGGCAACAAGTTGCCAACAACGACAACGAGGCTGGTGGTGGTGGAGCACAACCAGCGGCTGCCCAAGACGGATAAGTTACTGTCGTGGTTGAAGACGAACACGCACCTCCACAACGCTAGCGGGGTCGGGGATTCAAGTCGGCGATAACTTGACAACCGAGCGCTGTCCGCTAGTAAGTACAAGTCAAGGGCCGAGAACAAGTGCTAACTTACCTTGAAGGTCTGCGAAAGATATCTTGGAGTTTCTTGTCGGTGAAAGGTTGAGGTGGGAGGAACACCAAGCTGACAGACGGTAAGTACGCGCGACTTCAAACAAAAGACTCACCAAGCCCATCGGCAGTGCCCGGGACAGGCTGCGCAGCTGGCGCGCAGCGCCAATGACGGAAGCTGGGGAGTGGGAGTGTAAGCGACCGCTGGCCTGTCGGCTCCGTCACCCGAAGGCACGTGTCGCTTACGAACCACTCCCGCTTCCCCATCCCCGCGCGCTTCCCCAACACAGCACGTCCACCCAGCGCGGCCCCAAGCGCGTCCCACGTCAAGACGCGCCGAATGCGCGGCCGCGAACGGCAACGCGACAGGCCGCGCTTGCCAGCCCAACGGTAAAGCGCCGAATCTGTCTACATCGGTCTACAACACTGACTACTCCCTCCAGCCGCTTGCCGAGCTGCTCCAACGCCTGCCGAAGCACGTTTCCCGCCCTCTCCGGCTCCCAAAGCCGCCAAATCGACACTACAAGCAACAAGGCTGTCAGCGCCGATCGGATCTCGACAACGAGCAGAACGCGTACCGGTGGGGAAGCGCCGACGGGATCTGCTGGCTGGCCTGTGGCCGAAGGCGAGCATGCGGAGGGACAGGGAGAACAGGTTGAACGAGGACAAGGTGCCGCTTGTCCAGCGCGGACTAAAACAAACTCAGCATTGTCAAACGCGGCATGGCAAGACGACGCGAAACACACCTTGGCGACAACAAGACGCGGCAACGACACCTTCTCTCCGCTCGCAACGAAGCGCCATCGTCGACTGTTGCACTGAGGACGACCATAACTCTGCTGCTTGGTTAGTATCCACAAGAACCGGAGACAAGTCGGCACGAACCTCGCGCGAAACAGCCACAACAACTTCTGATTCCCAGCCAACATCGCCCTCTGCTCCCGCCCAAATGACAGACTTGACGACAAGTCTGGAATTCTGGTTAGTGACGGGGGAGGACGACGAGGAAAGCGAGATGACGAGCAACGGCAGGGAGAAGAGCGGGCATAGAGGCAGCGAGATGGTGTCTGTCGCCATACTACTCGACATTGCTAATGAAAACTTAGCAACAACGTCAGACAACAAGGAGCAGAACGAGACGCACAATGCGGAAACTGGGAGACGACACCAACTCCAGCGAGTGCAATGACAATGTGGAGTACGGTCAACAAGGGGGATAAGAAGGAAGTAGCTTGTGGTGAGGGAGGCGATACTGTGGACAAAGATCAGCGGGAAGATGAGAGGCAAGAATCGTACGATGCATTTGCTTGAGACGCTAACTTGCTCGCCAGCTTCAACGATGAGCACTATAGGAAAACGAAGGTCAGCGCGGCCAAGGATGAAGACGAAACATGCCAACAACGCCGGCACCAACGAGCGCGATCAGAGGGAGGGAGGCGGGCAGACCCTGGAGGTGGTGGTCAACAACGAAGGAAAAGTAACAACGACAAACATAGAGCCCTCCCACGGCAAAGTCAACCACACGTGATACTTCTGGACCTGGCGAGCGGACTCGAAGCAGGGGAGGAGGGGAGGAGAGCAGCGACGGCGTCGGCGTCGGCGATCGCAACGGCGACTTGAGCGAAGAGCGAGGGCAAGGGCAGGTGGGGGGAAAGGGAGAGAGAGGTTGCGCGTTGGTTGAAAGCCGTGGACTTATATATGCGCAGCCGGGCCGTGGAGCTCGCTTAGCGAACACTGCCCATGTCACTGTTGCGCCGCCCCGAAATGCTGACGGAGCTTCTTCGAAATGGAGAGATGTCAGTTTCCATGGCATGAGCGAGCTATTTTGAGCGACGGCGAGCGTGCGCGAACAGACTGAGCTAAGTGATATGTTGGCCCTGATACATTTTGTCTACAGTTTAAAGGGTAAAATACTAACAGGATGAAGTGAATCGAAAATTGTCCAGGTTGGAGTCTGCCAGACAAAAATAACTGGTGCTGGACTCAGCAACAGGTTCTATCTGTCAAGCGGGAGTACCGCAGGGCGTGGCTTGGTAACACGGGCTTCATAACACGGACATCAGTGTGGGCACCAAAATTGATCTGCACAGATCGAACCATTCTGACCCTGCTGGGCGTATCGGGGGACGGCATCGAGGTAGCTGCAGCTATTAATAGCGTTATGTAACCTTAATCTGGCCTCATGGCCGTTTGCCACCAGCTTACCCTACGAAATAAGGTTTGTTGTTTTTCCCTGGATTCAAGCGCATCGCGTCCAGCGATAGGCCTCGGAAATTACTCGGCGGATAGATGGAAGGCTTGCCAAGAATTTGTCTGAAATAAGTTGATGCACAAGTGTGGAGGGGCAGGAGTCCGAAGCGGACCGGGCTAATTGCCGGATTTGGATACCAGCGTGAGTGGTGATGGTTCAGGAAAAGTGAGCGCGCAGCGACAACTCAAGGGCAGAGAAAATTCTGCGTTGCGGGCGCGAGAAACGCGTGATTCCACGTGTATTTATAGTCAATTCGAGCCAAAAAGAGAGAAAGATCAAATATTGGGCGAAACAAAACTATGGAAAGAAGCAACAACCCAGCAGAGTATAAGCCAAAGCCAGCTCGAGCAAGAGACCATGAGTAGCCCATCCAGGTAGAGTCACATCACATCATCTCCGGCGGCCTCCCGGCTGTCACCGGTTTCCACTGTGGGCTGCTTCTCTCCGCGTTTATGATAGCGGCATGCATCATCCCTGAGAATGACACATGAAACCCTCAGCGGTGATTAAACCCTGAGCGCACTGCCCGCGCTTCCATTCCCTTCCCCGGCGCCCATCCAAAAGTAGTCGAGATGCCGCGTGGCCTGAGCCCCGGCTACTGCTTATAATATTAACATTATTCCCTGCTCATTTACCCTATGCCCACTCCCCACATGAGTATCAACATTCCCGACATGTTGCATGCGTCGCCGACTCATGCGCCGCCTGACATCATGGTCGGCGGGCATCACGCCATCACCGCCCGCCTCATGCCATCACCCGAAGGCTGTTCGCCGTGCCGATTATTCTCCGACCCTGACTCGGTGACCTCGGTGACGGGCACGAGGTGATGACGTGATGCACGCGACGCGACTTGACTGCCGTGAAGGCATCAAATCATAAACAAGGTCACGCACCTCCCTTCTTGTCTTCACTCCACGACCATCCCCTGCCGCTCGTCGTGCCCGTCGTCCCTCTGGGTATGTTGCTCTGCATCTCGGCTCCCCGCCGCTGTCGCTCACTCACTCCATCCCCAGTGTAGTCCCTCATTCCCAACTCACTCAACTCGGACGTCAAGTTGGCCGTCGACAACGAACGCAAAGCTTGCTGGCCTCTCCGGTATGTACACCCTTTGCGTCTTTGCACCTCCTTATGCTGACTTGGGCTTAGACGTTGAACGCAATGCTGTCGACGGTCACCACGAACTTGAAGTCGCGACTTCCTCAGGCTGGCTGTCATGTCAACGCGACTGCGACCCTGGTATGTATGGTATGTTGGCCTTGTGCTAGCGCTAACCTGTTGTTCAGTTTCTTTTCCCATCCGTTTTCAACCTTGGCGTCGTCGCTGTGGCGACACGGGACCGCTAGTGGCTTGGAAGCCGGGCTGGAGAAGCTCGCCTGCCAAATTCCTACGCGTACGTTGTCCTGTTTAATATATGATGTGGTATTGACGTCGATGTCCATCGTAGCCTCTTGTCCTGTCCTGCTCTCAAAGGGGGAACCTCTGGCCGGCAACTAACTCTAAGCTCATATGGTTGTCCTCATGCAAGGGTATGTCCCCCCCTTCCCTCTTTTCTCTCATTGTTGACGTCGGAATATAGATAGCAACCTCGTCATGATCGTGACCATAGCGCCATTCCATCGCAATCAACGAGCCCCTAGCCAACCGACGGCGCCCCGCTTGAGATGCTGAACCCCGGCTCGGACGTCTTATCGTAAGTTCTTTCTGTTGTTGGGACATGATATCATGCTAATGTTTTAGTTAGCTTCTATCGAGCACAACCCTGCGCGCGGGGAGGGGGAACGTCTGCTCCGGTGTTGGTAGGCCGCCGGCGCCATCGCTTATGCATCATGCCATACTGATATTAACTTTAGATCCTCAGTCATCGTCGTCGGCCACATGGGGAACCTCTGCTCGTGCGTGGAAAGTTCATTGGTAAGTCATTGCCTTTGTCGATGTTCTCACGTTGACGCCAAGCTTAGATTTGTCGTGGTTGTCCTCGAGCGACTTCCTAATGAGGGGGAACCTCTGCTCGGACATGCTGTGAGTAGTTTTGGGCTGTTCGCGTACGATGTAGTCCTGATCACTGGGATAGCTGGTCGATGCTCGCGAGCCCACACCACGGGGGAAACCTCTGCTCGTAAGCGAAATGTTTATTCGTAAGTCATTGCTCTTCCTTTTATATATTCCCCTGCTGAAGTGAAGCCTAGGTTTGTCGTCGTCATTGTGTCTGCCGATTACGTCTAGATGGTGGGGGAACCTCTGTTCGTACAGGGGAACTATGCTTCTATAATGTATGTTTCCCTCATTGCGTTCCACGCCATCTCATATTGCTCTAGCGCGGGTTTTGATGCGATACGTGGGTGATTTTGATATGCAAGCAGCGCTTACGTAAGCACATTTCCCTGCATTTTGCGAGCGAAAAATCTCATTTTTTTTGCCCAGATTTTTGCCGCCGGAGGCCAACGAAGCTGCCTGGGATGTCAACCGCACTGCGCCTGTCCTCTACTGGCAGCTGCCGCTTTTGTTCCGCCATCGTTGATGGCCCATCAATCATGGCGGGCGACGGCGCGTCTATCAAGTAAGTGCATATCTTCTTACCTCTTTCCCTCCGCTGATCATGTCAAAGGTTGTTCTTGCTATCCGGCTGTCTTTCCTGCTGCCGCCGCGCTACGGATCATTGATTCTATCGATGATGGGATTCTTGCAGTACGTTTTAACTTGTCGTTTATGTGATTCAAGTGCTCATTTTTTGCAGGGCTAAGCTGCCGCAGGCCTGCGTCCCGCCCCGGCCATCGACATTCCCAGCACAGTCAATGTCACACCACGCACGGCTGCTCTCCGCTCACTGCCTTGGTCCTCTTCCGGAGACTGCCGAGCCTCGGATCAATGATATCATCAGATTTTGATGGTATTTTTAGGTGCATTTTGGCTGCTCTTTTTCTCGATTCCAAGCTCATTTTTTTGCAGGGCCGAGCCGCCGGAGGCATACGTACCGCCCGGACTTTCAACTTGCTCGGCACAGTGGTTGCTCCACTGTTATTGCCATCTATGTCGTCATTGCCGTCCGGCCGCCCGGTTACCCTCCTGCCATTGCCGATACCCCGCCTTCATCACCTCGGCCCTCACCCCAAGTCCCGCGCGGCTTCGCCAACCTATGCCGTCCTCTTCGGCGCTCTTGCCCTTGGGTCTCCCCATCACGGGCTGCCTCTCCTCACGTGGCTTCCGCCCTTGCCGCCCGTCCTGGACCGCGTTGGCCGTCCCCGGCTCACTTTCGCTGCAACCTTCCATCGCCAATACCCTCACCTCTTTCCTCTCTGCATGCACCCCATGTCCGAGGCCCACCTGGCTTCGCTTTATCTTACTCACCGCCAACTTATACCGTCTTCTTCGGCGTCGCAGGCACTTCCCGTTGCCAAGCGCTAACCGCTGCCTGTCTTCCCGCAGGCTGTGTACTCGCCGGTGGAAGCCGTGTAACACGCTTAGGCTGTCTGGACCTAGCCCGGCTCGTCTCCAACCTCGGCTGTCTTCCTCGGCGCTGTTGCCCCTGGGTCCCCACATCACAGGCTGCCTCCCGCCGCACGCCCGTCTTGGACTTGTCGTTGGTACTTGCCGTCACCGGGCGCCAACCCCCGTTCCCGCACGCCGCTGGATGCCGTGTCAGCATGCTTGGGCTGTCCGGACCCAGCCCGGCGTGATAAATGCCGCTTTCTGGCTCTTCCGCGCTTCTTTTGATGGTATTTTGGGGGTACGTCTTGCGCTCACTTTTTGCTATTCAAACCTCATTTTTTTGCAGGACCGAGCTGCCGGAGGCAAACGTGCCGCCCCGACTTGCAAACTGGAGACTGAGTGGGGACTTAGAGGGGCGACTTATGATGGTCTTTGACGTGTCGCGACGCGTGGTTAATTAGCGCGCCTCGATGTACATCTTAAAATAGACAATGTATGACTTTACTCTACAAATGCCTGCCCGGAAAGCCCGAGAGTGACACTCTGTCATGCACCCCCAAGAACCCCACCAGACACGTCCCCAGTACCCCCAAAATCCATTTTTTTTCGCCCGAGGTATGCCCATGCTCGTGACTTTGAGAGGTCCGTGCGCAAGCCAGAGAGGTATATTAGAGGGGGCTCTCGCTCGCGCGACTTGGCGAGCGAGCGCGACTTAGCGTTGGAGCGAGGCGTGCAAGGACCAGTATGGTTTGGCATGTGAAAATATATACAACAACGGTGTGCTGCGCTGTGCGCTCTTCCTCTTCCGCGGACCTTGAGTTTGCGCAGGAGACACAACGATGCGGTGCACTATGCGGGCAGCTGGGGCAAGTCCGGAGCGGACCTTGAGTTTGCGCAGACTACGCATTGCACGACGACGCAAGGGTCAACGGCGTCGTTTTCTTTCGTCGGTGCGTCATCTTTCCCTTCTCCAATGTCTTCTTAGGCAGCTTAGGGACTTCTATATCCGTCTACGGCACCGTCGCCGTCAACACCACCGCTGGCGCGCTCTCCTTTGTGCTCGACAACCGGAGCAGCGCGACATATACGCCTACCAATACGCCTAGTGTCATCCATCACGAGCAATTCTACTCTTCTGGCACAATCGCCAATGGCTCCCACTCCCTGGTTATAACACAGACAGCCGTGGACCCAGCGCGCTGTGTGCTCTTTCTTGATTACATTACGTATCAAGCAACCGTGGACGGGCCGGGGCCGTACTTCATCGACGACAGAGACACAACGATCGCATATACCCCGGCGTGGACGGACTTTGGCTCCGAGCAGGACTTTATGCATACGAGCAGGGCAACGCCTGGCGCAGGCGCAAAGTTAACGTACACCTTTAATGGCCGCGGGATATCGTACTACGGCGGGATCACCGCTGGAAACCGCACAAATGCGTCGATATCCATCGATGGCGGGCCGCCCACCTTCTTCGTGCCCTCTCTCGCACTGGGGATCGTGAAGGTCAACAACTTGTACTACAACTCGGGCGACCTCGCGGACGGGCGGCACACACTTGTTGTCAGCGCGATGAACGATAACCCAGTGTGGATGGACTACTTTCTGGTTGTCCCCCCGTTGCCGGCTGCCCCGGGGACTGGTGGCGGGGGCGGAAGTAGTTCAACAATGTCAGGCCCCGGGCAGAGCGGGACAACTCTTCCCGGGGGCACAACCACGACCGTTAAGTCGAGCACTAACGTCGGCGCGATCGCGGGCGGGGTCATCGGGGGCATTGTCCTCCTCGCTTGTCTGGCTTTCAGCGCGCTCTTTCTCTACCGCCGCCGCCAGAACGCTGACGAAGCCAGCTCCCGAAACGCACCACGGCCGGACATGACTTATTACCAATCGAGTCTCGGCTCGCGACCTGGTGCCCCGCCTGGCAGCGCCCCCGAAAACATCATCGCACCGTTCCCAAGCTCCCTGCAGGCGAATTACAGCCAGGCCACTGTGGACCACCAGCAGCCACAACAGCCCGGCCAACAGCCCTATCCCGCTCACCCTTACCACGCGCCATACGACTCCCAGTCCGCCATTTCCGCCGGGTCGTCCTCGCCACCCCTGCGGGCGCAGCGGCCAAGTCACGTGCCTGCGACGTCCTTCTCCGCGGTTTCGTCGGAGCTCACGCCCGAGCACGAGGCGGACGACGGGGACTCGGCCTACACGGGCATCGCTGCGTCGTCTTCCTCCCAAGGGGTGCGGCAGCTCCCGCTCGCCCCGGTCAGGGCGCCGAGCGCACGGGCAAGCCCGCAGGTCGCCCGAAAGCTTGCGAATGAGGCGCGGTTTCAGGGCGCAACAGTGCGGGACGGTGCGGAGGGCGGGCCGCCGGTGTACGACGGGTGATGATTAAAATGATGACTGGACGATTTCTTTGTGTATTGTTTGGTTTATATGTGAATTATGATAAGGGCGGTGCTTGCAAGCATTATTATTTCCCTGGGTGCAGTCCCCGCAATAAGTATTGTGCATATATAGTTATTGTGATAAATATGGTTTTTGTATCCCCTTCTGCATAGTTGCTAAGGAAAGTATGAGTATGATTATACCTCAAAATGACTACATTATACCAGGCATACTAGTACAAACTATAAAAATTTGTACAAATACTACTGTACTATTCTATCAACTTCTGGGAGCAAAAGTGACAGTCACATCAGGGTTTTGGTGAAAAAAAGCGGCCCGAAGCCGGGCTTATTTGTGGCAGATAGAGGCCCAAATAACTGGGGCCGATTGTTACGGCCCTGATTTGGGTGCATGTGACTTGGAAATTACCTTATTTGGTAATTTCCGAGTCACGTGCGCGGAAATCCGTGGCCTTAATTTGAATCCAATCGGCTAACCACATTTGGCGCCGGTTTTCCCACAAATAAGTCCT